GATTTAAACCAGAATAGTAGTTAGTTCTAACCATTTTACGGGTATAAAGAGTTTATAGCAATTTACGATTTATAGCATTTTTAAAGACTTATAGCAGTTTGTAGCAAGTATTTATAATAAAATATCAGATTCATTTTTTATTCGATTGTTCGGGTAAAAACAGATTTTCTTTTTGATTCGGTTAAATTAGACCCGATCACATGGACGGCTAAACTATAAAATTTGTATCACATGTGATCTCCCACTTCCTCCGCAACTCAAATCACGAGATGAGATATAGATCAGCCAATCAGATTTTCCATAGCAACTAAGCACGGATAATTATATCTCCTATTTTAGAGTCTGTTCGGGTTCGTCAAAATTGCGCAGAAGAAATGGCGTAGTACCTTTGGGATAACAGATAAAGGGATAATCTAACTGTTTATTTTCCGTGATATTTGGCAAATTAGCAGTGATCATTGAATACAGTTAAAACTAAAACCGGTATGGGCAGATATGCAAATGCCCCTTTGAAGCTATGCTTACAGTAATCAGAAAAAAAACATAACTATTTTATTCGAGAGTATTTTAAAAGTTATCACCCAGATCAAGGGGGCATATTAATATATGTTTGTAAATAATATACGTGAACGAGAATTATTTTTTCTGGTGGTAAAGTCTGGATACCGTGTCCGGGCTTGTCAAAATTGCGTCTTGACGGAAAGATAAAAATAATTTTGGCAGGGAGCCCCGGCTAAAATCATGTGATCGCGTGAAAAAAATTCACGCACTTTTTACTAAGAGAATTTTTTGTTAATACTCTATGGGCATAGCAATGTATCAAAGAAATTTGTGGTCTAATAAAATCAACTTCTTTACGATCATGTGATATGCACAGTGATGTTATCTTTATACAGGTTTTTCAAATTAGTTAAGGCATTTAGTTATAATAAAATACTTTAACAATTTTATACATGAACTTTATTCGGCTATAGGAATACATTGTCGCATCACATGACGTGATGTAGTAACACTAATTAATTTTGCTCTTTGGTTTCCTTTAGTACGAACCTTGAGAGTATGATAGTTAATAAGTAATAAGTAATACAATGCAAAAAAAAATACAAATTAAGAAATCAAATCTGATTTAGTTGGACAGATAATACCAACTATTACCAGTCTCCACCAGTCCGCCGTCTGAGGACCGACACAAAACTTGGTGACCTACCTTTACAAGTAGAAAGTTCGCCACCTGAGGGTTAAGTGAGGTCTTTCTACTTGCACTTCTGCCAACTGATCACCTGAGGGTTAAACCAGTAAACAGGATTGTGTTGAGAAGGTCACTGTCTGAGGACAAGCATGACATCTCCCCTTCACACTTCCAGGCATTATCCACCGTCTGAGGACCGCATGGACAATGTGGGTAAAAAGAAAAGAGAAAAAAAAAATAGTAGGCAAAATATTTTCTAATCATCAAAGTGGCTTATTGAAAAGAAAAAAAAAAATAGAATAGCAGGAATAGAAACTCAATATTTAAAAATATTAGATAAGAGGCATTCATGAATAGAAAATGAGAGAAAAGAAACTACTATGGTTAGAAGAGCAATTAATGACAATATTTATAAAATAAATCGATTATTACTTAGCAGGAAACTGGCTGATAAAAAATTACAAAATAAATAACAGTTATTCTAACTCAGGCATCCTTAACACATCGCGGACCTTCGTTTTTTTAGTCCTAAGTACGGACCGATTAATTTTTTCCATCAGTGCCTCTTGCTTTATCATTTCATCATACAGAAAAGATACCACCGTATGAATTACCAGAAAATAAAAGTATGGTCAGGTACCTAATCTAAACACATACGTGGAAGATGGCCATCATCCTGAGGACAGCTTTATATTGGCTCCGGGCGTTAAAACTGAAAGGTATGGTGGCTGTAGCGAGCTCCGTTACGAGGAAACGTCCGTCAGAAAGCATGCTGAGAGCATAAAGAGTAAGTCGATTGTCTGAAGTGATGGGAATAGAGTATTAGAAATCACGACCTCTTAACATAATCCATACACCATGCACTTACTTATTGACTGGGTGCTAAACACCCTAATCTTCGTTGCAAGTTCCACTTCGCAATCGAGATGGTCCCGTAATATCGCGATTAAATTCAAAATATCGGTTCGGAGGGTTTTCTTCGAGTCACCTAAAGTATGCTTCTCGCTCGCATTATAAGGAGGGCCTGCAACCTCCATGTGCCAAACATCTAATCCATCATAGGATCTTGTTGCCTTAACATCCACTCGCACAATCCCTTAATTGCTTGACGACTTCATTATTTTTGCGGCGCGAGCTTGTGATTCGATCCAATCGAATTCAAGGTTAAGAAAAGTTCTTTCGTAATATTTAAATAAAGAGGAGACCTGATATACTATGTGTTTTCGTTCTCCTATTTTTCTGCTCATTGTGGGATCGACATCTATGAGGTAGTAACTAAATGAAAGCAATTATTGGTATCTTCTTTGATATACAAATAGATATTAATGTTTACATACAAGTCAATGAGAACTTTTTCGCAATAGAGTCTAAAAAGCTCATCTTCATCCTCCGACAATTTAGTCCGGACTTTAGTTTGGAAATTATCCATTGTTTCTTCGAAGATAGTATCAAGATACTTCTCCAAGGCAGGTGTCCATACGGCAGGATTAATATCACGCATAGAGAACACCTCCACAGCAAGTTCCTCTCCAATTTCTGATGACAGCTCCTCAATCGTCTCCCAAAATGCACATACTATGGAGATGTCTTGGATAAACCTACCATATAAAGAGAGCAAAGTTAAGAATCTCAGTGATATGTAGCAGGTAGAAAAACGGGACTTACAGCTGAAGTTCTTCCTTCTCGTATGGTCGCTTATTGGGAGTTGACATTAATGGCGTTAAGTCTCTGAAATTTTGAGGTGGAGTTTTGGGTGCAGGCAGAAGAATAGGCGGAACAGACTCTGGTTGCAAATGGGCTTGGAAGATATCGGTTTTTGCGTTAAGGCATATCACATCCTGCAGGTGATAATATGTGAGTATTCTGTTCGAAACAAGTGTGCATACATGCATACTAACCCACCTCAGTAGTGCTGTGGATGATAACCGATCGCTTATGCGCTTTTTTTGTTTCGAAAAATTTGGCACATGTTCCTGTTATTGCTACTCCCGAATTAGACTATAAATTATTCGAGTTTCTAATAAATTCTCTATGACGCCAATAAATTATAATAGTGAGATATCTTTTTATGTAACCTTTTAAGATCTAACCAATCTAAATGATTTTAATAATTAACAAAACTTAATTTATATATAAGATCAAACAAAAAATACATCTAATTTATTAATTCGATCACTTATATTTTTTTAAAAAAAATTTTTATTGTAAAAAAAAATATATATTGATCATGTGTCGATCATGTGATTATTCGGAAATTAGAATGTCCGCTATGCTGATTTTCTACAAACTAGCATAATAGACATTCGTTATATCACGAGATGATAAAATCAAATGTTGATCTTTTTTATATTGTGTAACATTTGATATCAATCGATTTAAAATAATAAAAAAAAGATGCAATATTTTTCAAAAACTAATTTATCATTACACAGTTTTTTTATTAATATGTCGTTCATTCCTTTCTTTACATTTGGGTAAAAAGAAGTTTTAAGGCTTTATTAATTAATATATATATAGTAAAATATTTTACCAAGTTTTTATAAATTCTAAAGCATTTTTAAAGTCTACCAATATTTTTTCTTCTATTATTTTTTCTTC